TCAACTCCTGGGTTCCACCCTCTCCCTAATTCAGAAAATGATAGAATCTCACCCAGCCAGATCTCCCACCTGACTCCATGTGTAATGGCCTGCAAGTGTCTCCCTCAACCCTCAGACAAGCTCTTCCCAAGACAAAGGAGCTTTTAATTTTAGCACTCCAGTGCATGATGTGCTGGTATTAGTGATGGCAGATGAGCTGGTATTGCTAATAACCATTCTCTCACCGATCCACACATCCATCTACCCACTTACCCACCCACCCACTCATCAACCCCTCCATCTATCACCCAACCATCTACCCACTATCCATCCATTCTTGGTCTGCCTGGCTCTTGGGCCTGTCATCCTCTAGATGCTTTGCCTCAGCCTTGGTACCAATGGACTGGCATTATGTCATATGCCACAGCCCCTGCAGGCAAGAATATTTCCGCTTGCCCTGATTGTCTGTTGGTTGCCAGATCCCTTCCCTCCTCTGATCACAGAGAGGCTGGAAGCCTGCAAACTACATTTGCTAGAGCCCTTACCAGTGGGCTTCCAATTTGTTCCCACTGGTAGGAAGCACTGATCAATCAGAAGGCAGTCAAGTTCCTGGATCTGGGGGGTTTTTTAGTGCTGGCAACAGCAGCAGTCATCAGCAGGCATGCACACCTGGGTCTTGTTCAGCCAGCAAGGTTCTACCAGGAGCACCCTCAGCAGCCCTGTGATCCCCAGGCACTTCTGGGTGACACCTGTTCCTCCAGCCTCCATGTAAAAGCAGCTTCCTGCACTTTTCCTGCACTTACCAATATTTGGGCAATCTCACCTTTTCACTCTCACTCCTCTCATTTTTCCAACAGTTTTCATAACCAGTCCCCTGCATTAAATCCACTCTGAAGCGCCTGGGCAATTTCCACTTTCCTGACTCTTCACTGACTGATAATGTCCTTGGTAGCAGAAATGACTTCCTAGAAATAGACCCTTAATGCTGGAAATCGGGGATTGGTTATCTGCCTGGATTGGGCTGGAACGCAGTAATGACCTCACTGTCAGAGGGGATGTAGTACCCTGGAAAGTCACAGCATTCAGTGACAAAACTAGTCCTTAAAACATCACCTATTTTTAACACCTGGGGTGAAGCGTCTCTTGAAGGCAAAGCTTGAGACCAAATGGCTGAAGCCCTTCATGTTACGGGGACAGCTGGAGAGACTGTTGGCTTCTGACTACACTGGAGGCAGCAGAAGTGATAAACCCAACTCTTGGGTTTGATAGAAAAACAGACAGCATCTTGGATAACCAGAAAAGAATCTCTTTAATATCTTGTAGCCATAAGACTGATACAACTGAAAACCCTAAATTTGATCCTGCAGGTTGCAGTTACAACACAAGTTGAATTCACAGCCTTGCCGGAACACTTATGTAAAATTTAGGGCATTGGATCTGGAAGGAGTGGGACCCTGAGAATCGTAAAGGGATATTTGGGTGGACTTGAGCAAATCCAAGAACCCTGAACTGAGGAAGAGCAGTGTGAGTGTATGGTCAGGGGCTCCATGAATATTCCTGCCTACCACCCCAGCCTCACAGGCGATTCAGCCTTCTCCATACCAGCCCAGCACTGGTTAGCCGCTCACCTTATGGCTCGAGGCAGGACCCTTCGCAGGCTTGCAGCTGAGTGGGAAGTTGCTGGAAGTTTTATGTTTATTGCTTTCAAGGCCATCTGTCACCACAAGCAGACATAAGACCTCGTATCACACAAGCTCGATGCCACCAAGAGGACGGGAGCTGGGCTGGATCCTGAGCCCTTCAAGTAGCATGGGCTTTGGCTTGTGACCCCTGATTTTCAGTCTCATCTATCAAATAGGCCTAATAATAGGCATGTCATGGGACTGCTGTGAAAACAAAGTGGAATAAGATTGCAACGGGGCTGGGTGAGGTGGCTCACACCTGTAATCCCAACACTTTGGGAGGCCAAGGCGGGTGGATCATTTGAGGTCAGGGGTTCGAGACCAGCCTGGCCAACATGGTGAAACCCCGTCTCTACTAAAAATACAAAAATTAGCTGGGTGTGGTGGCACGCGCCTGTAATCCCAGCTACTTGGGAAGCTGAGGCAGGAGAATCGCTTGAACCCGGGAGGTGGTGGTTGCAGTGAGCCAAGATCACACCACTGCACTCCAGCCTGGGCGACAGAGTGAGACTCCATCTCCAAAAAAACCAAAAAGATTGCAACGGGCCTGACACTTTCTCTTTCATTCTGAGTAGCCATGAAACCCTGAGTGGGAACTAGGAGAAATTGTCTTGCAGTCTGTTCCCTCCCTCAGCAGCTGGCATGGAATGAGATGTGGCCCTGGGCCTGGTGCAAGATTTTCACTTGTTTTGTAAGCAATAGCCACAGCTTGCCTTGATGGGCACGTGTTGACATGAGGCTGGGCCTCACCTCCCTGCAGTGGACCAGAAATCCCAAAGGAGCGACTTCTTATGGCACAGCAGATCTCATGCATGACATCGCTGCCCCTTCCTAGGAAACCCCAGGAAGTCACTCTGCTTCATAGCTGGGCTGTGGCCTCGGGGCCTTTTGCACCTGGAGATGGCAGGGAACTGTGATGTGGGGGCTGGGCCAGCTGGAAAGGCAGAGCTGCCCAGACTGGGGTCTGGGGTCCTGAAGTCACTGTTATCCTGCGGGGAGACCTCAGCCAAGCCCCAGTGCCACTCAGGGTCTCGCTCTCCACACTGAAGGCTGGGCTGAGGACTGAGAAGAGAGGCCAGATACCAGGGAGGGAAGGCTGCCTCCTCCTTCCCACCTCAACCTCCCCAGCAGTTAAGGACAGGGCTGACCAGCAGGTTGCTGTGGGGGAGGCGACAGCGTGGGGACAGCACGGCAAGTCAGGCCACACCTTTTACAGAAACATTCCTCTGAGACCTGTTGAGGAGCTTGGAGAATGAGGAAGGGGACGGTCCCGGGGCCAGCTGGGTCCACACCCTGCCACGGGCCCTGAGGAGGGAAGGCACGAGTCACTGCCTATTTTGACCGGGCAAGAAAATAGAAACCCACAGGGTGAGGCGGGCAGGAAAGCAGCTCTGTGGGAGACCTGCAGGCCCCCGAGCATCCCCTGCCCCACTCTGGCTCTCGCCCGGATGCATAAACCGGCCCCATGTGGTGGCATCCTTACCAAGGACTCCCAGGTGACCCGATGGGAGGGGTGAGGCTGGGCTGCCAGGCAGACAGGGTAGCACCAGACGGGATGGGCTGGGGGCTCCAGGGCAGGGTGTCTGTGGCGACCCGACCTGGGGAGATGTGGTTATTGCTCTGCTGGAGACCTTGGGCCAGGTCCCACGAAGCCCTGCCTAGCCCCGGCGTGGGTTAGCGGTGATGTAAGGCAGCCCGAGGTGAGGCCAGGTCATACCAGCGGGAGCTTGGATCAGGCCTCCTGAGAAAGCCCTAGCCTCGGTTCCTGGGCCCAGGGCCTCTGCGGGCCTCCACCACCCCAAGCCTCCTGGTTCAAGTATTGGTTGTGGGCTGGCCGGATGGAGAGTCACCTGCTAGAACACAGGGGGAAGAATCTTAGGTGAGCGTGGGAACAGGGTGGGGCCAGGCCCATTCCCTCCTGGCTCTCAAGGGCTTCCTGTGGGGGCCTCCTTGTACTGCCACTGCAAGGTGGGCTGGAGGCCACAGGGACACGGCCTCAGCTCACTGAGCTCCTGGGTGGTCATGATGGACTACGTGCGTGAACGTGGGGAGGGACGTGTGCATGGGAAGGGGGTGACCTCAGGGAGGGGAAAGGAGGCCCCCAGCCCTGCTGCCCCGGGACAGTAAGGGGAAGGCCCAGGCCTGGCTGCCCATCCTCCGTGCCTACAACTTCCTCTTTCCTTAAATTCTGCCAGCAATGGGCCACCCCTAGCCCTAGAGGGGACCCGGAGCAGCTCGGCCCACCTCCTGCCTCCGACCTCTCACACAAGCCCTCTGCAAAAGGGCCGAATTCCTGGAGGCCAGGGCAGGAGCATCTGCCACAGGGCAAGGGGCAGGGATCGGGGGGGTGCTCGGGATGGTGACCCCTGCTGGTCCACGCTGTGACCCACAGCAGGGGTTTCGAGGAGACTGTGGGGCTCCAGGACCCCCATCGGCAGGATGCCAGGCCTCCCTGCACATGCAGGTCTCCATCGTCCTGTGTCCAGGCAGGAAGACCCCTGAGCTGCTGTGGCTGGAGAAGGAATGCGGGGGGTCTCGGTGCCAAGACTGGGGATAGCAAGGTGAGTGGAAAATGCAACCATAGGCCAGCCAGCGCCTGCGCATGGAGTCAGAGGGAGGAGTCACCATGGCAACCACGGCCGCTGCACCGGGGGAGTCGACCTCTCCCTGTACTGCCCAGAGCCCAGCCTGACACCCCCCGAAGCCTGGTGGGAATGCATCAATCCCAAGGGACGTGGTGTTGACTAACCAATGTCTCAGCCCTAAAGGGCCCCTGGCTCCAGGGTCACCCTCCAGCTCTACAGAGGAGCAGGGACGAATCTGACCCTTGTTAGAGTTGACACAAGAGGGCAGGACCTGAGCCAGCCCCAGGGGAAGCCAGCATGCCCGGGAAAGGCTGGTCCCACCAAAGTGTGCTGGTGTGTCTCCTGGACTGCACCCAGGAAGGCTGGGTTGGGGAGGAGCCCAGGGCCGGATGGGCAGCAGAGTGTATCCAGCTTAGCCAGCCCAAAAGAGGACACTGATGTCTGGCAGCAGCACAGAAACCCGTGTCGGATGTTTCTTCCTCTTGGATGCTGATGACGTTTTTGGACAACAGTCAGCCTCTCTCCCACCCCAGCTCCAAGGCATCTTCTCGGAGAAGGCTCAGGCAGGTGGCCAAGGCCAGCAAGGGGCAGGTCTGCAGTTGCTCAGGCCCCCCTGGAGCTGCTCCCAGCAGACAGGGGTACAGGGGACAGCAGCCCAGGGGGATGGGGTCTTGGTTTCCTGCAGAACCTACACGAGAGGCCAAAAAAAAGGTGGGGGTACCAAGGAGAGGAAAACACCCACGGCACTCACCACCAGCCCGCCTGTAGACCACATCCTGTGTGTTCACGTGTGTGAACCGCATGTGCAACTGAGCCTGGCCAGTGCTCAGTCCTTCACTCTCCTGGTTTCTGTCAGCGAGAGCTGCTCCCTTCCAGGGCCCTGCCTGTACTGGGGATGGGGGTCTGAGAAAGGGGCAGCGCTGGTGGCAGGTGGGATCTGGCGCTGCCACCCTCAGAAGCTGGCACACGAGGTTTCTTATTGCTCCTCTTGGCTCTGGGGCACACCTTCCTAATTTCCAGAAAGGACACGGGCCCAGGAGAGGTGGCAGCAGGGGTCCCGCACTGGCCCTCCTGCTGATCTCCACGTGGAACCCGGCAGGCGGGATGCAGGCTGGCTCTAGCCCCTAGTGCGGCCCACAGGCCTCCCATGAAGCTGCTGGTCTCTGCAGAGAGGGAGCTGCCGGGACTACGCGGCCTCCTTGCCACCTCAGTTACCGGGTCACCACCCATCATTGGTCAGCGGCCTCCAGGGATCTGGACGTGGAGCACAGGTAAGTGTCCTTACAAAAATAACTCTGAGTCTGTTCCCAGTGGGACCAGGTTCCTGAGAGCACGTAGGGCCGGGCAAAGGCCACGTGGAAGAGTCCGGCAGGGAGCGCTCCCGCCTGCAGGCCAGGGTTACGGCTGCAGGCGCTCCAGGTACTGCGGCAGGGGGTTCTCCTTGACGTACTTCTGGATGTACCAGCAGGTGAGATGGGCCTTCAGGTCCTCCTCCACCACGAAGTCCAGGGCGGCCTGGGAGCCGGGCAGAGAGGAGAGTGGTCAGGGCCTGCAGCCGGCACCAGAAAGGTGGCATCATCTGCTCCCTCCCCAGGCCCCGGCTCCCTGGCCACCCACTTTGCCCTGCTCAGTAATTCTCTTGCTTCAGCATCACCTGGGATGATCCCCACAGACTGGTCCAGTACACAAGGAAAAAACACATCACCTCTCCCCAGGGAGGTACAAGCCCCCATGCCCCAGGCAGCACGGAGGGCAAAGGTTGCCTGCAATTCTCCTGGTGGGGTGGGGGTGGAGGAGGGAAGCCTGCCGAGGGCCCAGCTAAGTCCCAGCAGCAGCCCTCGGGGCCTGCTTTGCTCTGGCTGTAACTCCCTTCCCCAAGCCCAAACCTCTCTTCAGACAGCCTGGGATTTGGGATTCCCTGAGGATGAAGGGGCTGGGGGCAGGAATGGGGCTCCCACGAAGCACCTGCCACACAGGAGGTGTGTAAGGATCCTGGAGGCTCAGCCACGCCAGGGTCTTGAACAGGAGCCTGGGCCCAGAAAGGCTGCCACCGGCCCGGAGAGGACCCAGGGCCAAGAAGCAGGCTGAACTGGCCACCAGGGCCACCGTCTCCTCTGAGGGAGGGTGGCAGCCCCCACGTCCCCGCTCCCGCCTGGCCCTGCCGCCTGCCTACCCTACCTTGGCGAGGTGCTTGGCGATGCCACGCCCACGGTAGGCATCTGGGACCTCGGTGTGCTGCAGGTCCACGATCCGCTTGCCCACGTACTCATAGAGCAGGACGGCCCGGTCATGACATCCTGGGGGTTGTGGAGACAAGTAAGCCTATGCTGACTCCCATCCCAGTGGACTCAGGGGCAGAGGCTGGGGTGGAGGGACAGGCATCGGGGGCCATTCAACTGCTACAGCTAAATCCTGAATAACCTCTCGGCGCCTCAGTCCCCTCATCCATAAAGTGGGGATACAATAAAATGTCCTTCATAGGGTGGTTTGGAGAATTAAATGAGGTAACCTCTGTGACATGCTTACAGCAGTGCTTAGAACACCTGAACCTCTGCTACTACGTCAGTCTTAGCATCCCAGAGCCCTACCACCCCTTCTGTAGCCCTGCTCTCTGCATCCCCAACCCACCACACCCCCGGATCTGGCCCCAGGACCCAGCATGGGACACAGAACAGGGCTCAGCAAATCTGCGACTAAGGCAGAGCATGAAGAGACAAGAGAGGCAGCGCTGTGCCACGCATCAGGACCACCTGCTGGACCCTGACCGAGATGCAGCAGGCAAGATCAGAGGCCCGTGGCAGAGTCCATGACGCTGGACACGGGAGACAGTAACAAATGCGTCTTCACACTCCACCAGGCCTGCCAGGCCTGGAGCTCACCAGTCCACCCCAAACTCCTGCTGGGCAAACAATGAACTGAAGTTTTTCCTAACCACAGTTTTCAGTGTCTCATCTGTTTGCCTGTCCACCTACCCATGCATCCATCGACCCACCCATCCACTTATCCATCCACCAAATGTTTCCTGAGCCCCAGGTACTGTTTCAGATGCTGGGAATATAGCAGCAAACAAGCCAGACAAGGAGTCCTACCCCCATGAAACCGAAACGGGAGAAAGAATAAACATGAAAAGCAAGTGGATGGGTAGGATGCCAGGGAATGGGGGCAGGTGAAGACAGGAAGGAGAGGGCACCAGCCATTCTGAGGGAACGGTGTTCTGGGCAGAGGGAACAGCCAGTGCAAAGGCTCTGAGGCAGGAGTGGGCCTGAATGAGGGGCAGCTGGAGTGGGGTGGGCGAGGGGAAGGGCAGAGATGGGGGCAGGGAGGTGATAGGGCAGGTCCTGCAGAGCCTCCTAAGCCTTCTGAGCTGGGCGCCACTGGAAGCCCCTCAGCAAAGGGACGGATGCGATTCACGGATCCTGCTGCCACTGTGGGGAGAACGGATGGGGAGCAGGGGCAGGGAGCCCGGAGGGTGAAGATGGAACACAGACCAGGGCGGGGGCAGTGTGGCTGTGTGGAGCAGTGTTTTCACTGGATGGTATCTGAAAGTGTAACCAGCAGGATTTACTGATGGCTCGGATGTGGTCGAGCAGGGAAAGGGGAGTCTAGGATAACACTGAGGTTTCTAGTTTCAGGGAGCGCCAAGTGTGTGAATGAAATAAACAAGCTGGGAGGGGGCCGTCAGGGAGGCCCCTCCAATGGAG